ACGCACTGACAGGCTGAAAATCGGGTGCTATTGGAATGCTACTGCTGCAAGGAAGAGCCAGGATGACAGGTCAGGGAGGAGATATCATCACCCCCACCCGAGATTGGGTACCAAGCCCCAAGTGTGAGAGGAACTGACCTGAAACATAGGATCATGATGAAACTTGAAACCTGGATCCTCCATAGCTGGTTACCATGACTACTTGAAGTACCCTATGAGGATCGACTTGATGATGTGAATGCATTACTATGGAAAATGCTTACTGTGACTATTCCCAAAACTAACCAGCTGATCTACACTATAGTAGCAGTGATCAGTGAGATGCTTGGCTACAAGTTGAACAACCACAAGGAGCAGTACCCTCCATGAAGGAGGCTAGAGGCCAAGATCAAGGTAGTGCAGAGGGAGGTTAGCCAACTATCAGAGTGTCAGAAAGGTCAAATGAAGAAGGTGCCTAAAAAGTACAGCAAACTGTCCATACCTGAGGCCTTGGAAACTGCCAAGCAAAGAATCACAGCCTTGGCCAGCCGTTTGAAGAAGTATACCCAAGAGATTGAAGGCAGGAGAATAAACCAGCTGTTCGCCACAGAACCATCCGAGTTGTACTCTCAGTGGCAGGGGAACAATATGAGAACAGCACCACCAAGGCTTGAGATGGAGCAATACTGGAAGAGCATATGGGAGACGGACGCAACCCATAATGGCAATGCTCAGTGGCTAGTGGATCTGTGGGCAGACCACAGCAACCTCCATGAACAGAGTCCAGTAACCATCGCAGTGGCAGACATCCAAGAAAGGGTCTTCAGTATGAAAAGAGCACGGTTCACGCCTACTGGCTGAAGAAGCTGACTGCACTTCACGAGCATCTGGCAGCATAAATGAACCAGCTACTAGTCTACGAGAGACACCCAGTATGGTTTACTGAAGGCCGGACAGCCCTAAATCCCAAAGACCCCCAGAAGGGACAGTCCTATCTAACTACTGGCCAATAATCTGTACCACACAGAAGCCCCTGTCAGGCATCATAGCGGCTAAGATGAACAGGCACATGGCTCAAAACTTGAGCGGGGCACAGAAAGGCAGGAATACCAGAGGAGCGAAACACCAACCCCTGGTAGACAGAGCACTCTCCCGACTGACCAGCCTGTGCACTGCCTGGATTGCCTACAAGAAAGCCTAAGACTCGATGCCACACACATGGATCCTGGAATGCTTATAAATTATATAAGATCAACAGGATCCTAAGAGCCTTCATCGGGAGCTCACTGGGGATGTGGCGTACAACACTACTTTAAGCCCATAGCACAAGCACAAGTCACAATCAAGTGCAGGATCAATGAGATGCTGTCCCTGCTGCTGTTCTGCATAGGCCTGAACCCTCTCAGTGAGATCATTGACAGGACTTTTTGGTTTAGCACCTGAAGCTCTCAAACTTTTACACAAAATACCCACTTTTATTTCCAATAAATGGGATCTATTCAAAGCCCTGCAAGAAAAGACCTCGTGTGTTAACATTAAATTTGTTACAATGTACCCTAATACCCAGGTGGGTTGTAACAAATGCTGGGAAGAATTGTAACAATTAGACAAAAGAAACAAAAAAACAGAGCCCACACCAGAGGACATGCTTCAAAGAGTGGTTTATTGCAGCGGTCCCAAACCCCGGGCCACGTTTGGTACTGGGCCACCAAACTGAGAGTTGAGGCCCAGGTGTGAAATTTATGGTTTTCAGGGTTTTTATCATTAACTCTGTTTCCCTGGGTCTTTTCCTGTGTTGTAGTTGTGTGTCTTATTTTGAAAGAAATACCAGAGACCATTAAAGGGCAGAGAGGAGGATGTTGCTCTCAATGCTGTTGGCACATTTCAGGAGGACGCTACTAATAAAGTAATTTAAAAAATACCACAGTTTTAGTCTTGGTCGTATCATTTTATTTTGTTGTATTTATCCGCAACACCTTAAAGGCCGGTCAGTGAAAATATTGTCTGACATTAAACCAGTCCGTGGTGCAAAAAAGGTTGGGGACTGCTGGTTTGTTGGAATAAAAGAACTCTCTTTGTGACTAAACAAAACCCAAATGCACTCTGCTGTGTGTGGGTGTGTAAATTAGCTTAAGAGAACAAACACAAATACTCAATAAACAGTTCAGTGACAGGTACAAACAGGTACAATGCACCTGTCCGAAAAAGATATAGGTCTTTGTGGTTGGGTGTGTTCTGTGGCATGGCTGCAGGGGATGAGTGGACCAGCAGGTTCAGGGTGTGGTTTGGTGTGTTGTTAAAGCTCAACACCACACACACACAATGTTGTTGTATATTATCTGTATCAAAAAAACCAATGGCAGTGTGCATGTATATTCTTAATCAGATTCACAATGTTGACCGATGAATGTTGGTAGTTCTGGAGTGCAGGCTTGGTGGGCCCAAAGGCTGCACAGGGTAAATTTTACCCAAACTTCTTTTGCCTTTGAGTTACCAAATGGCTTTATACAGTCAGTGCAAAGGTTTTCGTCATTCATTGTCTCAGAATCTTCAGTGTTATTTTTCAATTTTTTTGGGGGGCAGATTTCACTTTCTTTTTCTTCTGCTTGCATTTATTTTTCCTAAGATATTCTTTTTCCATTTTTGCTTTTTTCTGTTATTCTTCCATAAGCTTTTGCAATGACTTGGAGTATCTGCTCAGTGTTACATGGAAGATCTGACTGACTCACCCTTCGTTGAGACCCCATCAGATGCCTTTTTCTTTCTTTTTTTTTTAAATATTAGCAGGCATACCTTGATCAGTTTTTCTTTTCCACTATCTAGACATGCTGTAAAAGTATATGTGTTAGCATATTTAAAATCAATAAGCTATTCATACTTTGGGGAAGGGGATTGTTGTAACATATTGAAAGCATATGTTACAACTCACCCCACCCTTGTCAGTCATTGTTTAACTAACTTTATTAGTATAGTGGCTTAAAATTAGCAGGGGGCAAATGCATTACAGCTTGCCTATTTAATGTACTGTTAGTCATATTATTTGGTCTGCAGCTGTTTAACTCCTAACAAAGCTTAGTGCTGGTCAAAAGAATTAATTTCATATGTCAAAATCAGTTTTCTTCAATACAATCTACATGCAGCTGCTTCCAGCCATGATAACTACAATGTGAAAGAATAATAATGGATTGCATTTATATAGC